CACAACTAACCAAAACCAAACCAAAAAAAAAACCGCAAACATAACACAAACGCAAACACAAAAAACACAAACGCACGTAAAAATGCAAACACAAACGCAAATACAAATAGAAACACAAACGCAAACTTTAAATTTTAGGGGGGGGGGGGGGGCGGAGCTTAAAATTTCTGGGAGGGGGAGCGGACACCAGATAAAGAAAATACTTTTTTTCTATTTGAAAAATGCAATTAAATGCAATTAATACCTCTTTAGCAGGATGTGGCTCAAGCAGTTGCTCTATAATTTGTTTACGATACAAGTCCATCTGTAAAATCAAGTTTTTGCATTGTTGTGTACTTAAATAATATAGATCTAGTATCTAGCTAGATCTAGATTCTAGAAGATAGAATCTTGAGTATTGTTTTGTCTGGAGTTGTGGATATGTTTAAATTATGGTCAAATATGTATTCTATTCATATCGTCTATGAGCTGGTCACAAAAAAAAGGTTCCTGAATAATTCAAGTATCTTCAAATATTATTGTTGTTCTGAGGATGGCATATTTTAAAAATAAAATAAAGACTAGCGCAATAAAATATTATTTAACGAAGACCGGTGCTAGGCGGTAACCAGAAAGATGCGCGACGGAAAATAACGCAACGGAAAAAAGCGCAAATAAAAAAGCGCAAAGGAAAAAAGCGTAAACAGAAAAACGTATCCATGTCCCGATATATTCCCTATCCCATTTCATTTTTCCTATCCCTATCCCTTACCTATACTCGTAGCTATCCTTGCCCTTATCTCTCTCGCTATGTCTATCTTAAACTTAGCCATTTACCGGTATCTGTCCATATCCAGGTTTATTTTCCCTATACTGTCCGTATAGATTCCCTTTTATATTTCCTTTTTCAATTACTATTTCCTTATCGTTGTTCATATCCCTTACATACATCTTTCTAGTAGTGGCCTACTGCAGTTGTTTGGGAGGGTTTATGTACATGTTGCTATTGAGTTGGGGATGGTGGATGTATCTTACGGGTTGAGGTGAGTGGGAATGGTCCTGAAATAATTCACAGGTTTGTAATGTGAGTGTCTGAGTGTAGGTGTGGGTGTGGGTGTGGGTGTGAGTGTGAGTGTGTCTGTGTGTGGGTATGGGTATGGGTTTGGGTGTGGGTGGGGGTGTACGTGTAGGTGTGAGTGTAGGTGTGGGTGTGGGTGTGGGTATGGGTGTGTGGGTGTGGGTGTGGATGTGAGTGTAGGTGTGGGTGTGGGTGTGAGTGTAGGTGTGGGTGTGGGTGTGGATGTGGATGTGGGTGTGGGTGTAGGTGTGGGTGTGGGTGTGGGTGCCGGTGTGGGTGTGGGTGTGGATGTGGGTGTGGGTGTGAGAGTAGCTGCGGGTGTGGGTGTGTGTGTGGGTGTGGGTGTGGGTGTGGATGTGGGTGTGGGTGTGAGAGTAGGTGTGGGTGTGGGTGTGGGTGTGGGTGCGGGTGTGGGTGCGGGTGTGGGTATGGGTGTGAGTGTGAGTGTGGGTGTGAGTGTAAGTGTAAGTGTGGGTGTGGGTGTGGGTGTGGGTGTGAGTGTAGGTGTGAGTGTAGGTGTGAGTGTAAGTGTAGGTGTAGGTGTAGGTGTGGGTGTGGGTGTGGGTGTGGGTGTGGGTGTGAGTGTAAGTGTAGGTGTAGGTGTAGGTGTAGGTGTAGGTGTGAGTGTGAGTGTGAGTGTTAGTGTGGGTACGAGTACGGATTTTTTACGCTCCAGACCGCACTACTTTGACCCATAAAAACATCGTACATGACGCACACTAAAAATCAAACTGACATTTTAACGTTAAGAAACGCTACGTATCTTAATACGTGACTTTAGGGCATTTCGTTACCTCTCTAAACTTTAAACATAATTTTTTCCCCAAAATTCTCAAGTTTTAAACATTTTTGATTTTGTAAGTTGGGTTAAGAGAACAACAAAATCGTAGTTGTGGGCGAACATTCTAAACAACTTTCTAAATAGATTCTTCTCGGAACATGTGTACACGATTGAAAAAAGGAAGGGGCAATTAAAAAGCTTTAAACTGCAACATTGACGCTTTTCACACCAGATACTAATAGCGTAAATGTTGAATCGAGGTTTTTCTCGTTGACTATGACAATAAAACCGCACCAGTTACTAAAGATTTGATAGGTACAGGTGCATCAACGTTACGCGAGTCTCTCACGATATTTGTTTTAAAAAGTATTGACATAAAATTATCAAAGGGAGAATCTCATTTACAAATAGCATAACCACCACCCTGACCGCAAATAACTAAAAGCTCCAGAAACATAAAATAATTCTTCAAGGTAAAACGACTAGGTTATATTTCAAAAAGGAAATAAAAAGTTTTTCTGATGCGCAATCCATTTGAGCACACCTTTCGTAATGGACAGAGAAGATAACACATGTATGAATGGTGTGTCAATCATTGGATTGTTCTTAATGCCCAGTTGGTAAAAATTTAAAGAAATCTAATTATTATTTGATAAAATTGTAGGTCTAATCATATGAATTTCTCTTTTACTTTTATTTTTACCTTAAAAAAAGATTTACAACTAAGAATATATCACAACCAAAACGCCTTAGTTATGCTAACTAGCTTTAATGTCCAGTTGGTAAAAACCTAAAGAAATCTAATTATTATTTGATAAAATTATAGATCTTATCATATGAATTTCTCTTTTAATTTTATTTTTACTAAACGAAAAAAAAAGATTTACCACTAAGAATATATCACAACCAAAGCAACTTTGTTATGTAACTAGCTTTAATGCCCAGTTGGTAAAAAACCTAAAGAAATCTAATTATTAATTGATCAAATTATAGGTCTAATCATATGAATTTCTCTTTTACTTTTATTTTTACTAAACAACAACAACAAAAAAAAAAGATTTACCACTAAGAATATATCACAACCAAAGCACCTTTGTTATGCTAACTAGCTTTAATGCCCAGTTGGTAAAAATTTAAAGAAATCTAATTATTATTTGATAAAATTTTAGGTCTAATCATATGAATTTCTCTTTTACTTTTATTTTTACTAAACAAAAAAAAAGATTTACCACTAAGAATATATAAAAACCAAAGCACCTTTGTTATGTTAACTAGCTTTAATGCCCAGTTGGTAAAAATTTAAAGAAATCTAATTATTATTTGATAAAATTTTAGGTCTAATCATATGAATTTCTCTTTTACTTTTATTTTTACTAAACAAAAAAAAAACCCCACTAAGAACATATCACAACCAAAGCGCCTTTGTTATGTTAACTAGCTGAAATACCCTTCGCTGCCGGGGACACGTTTTTATTTTAATGGCTTCATATAATTCACGCTGAGCGGAAAATTTATGAATAGGCTATTACATTACACATTACATTTTACCGTAGTTAGCACAATCAAACGTAACGAAAATTTAGCATAATCCCACTCGTAATTGTACCTTACGTGTAACCCCCCAACATGTTAATGCAAAGGAGGACTAACATTAGTTAACGCTTCTTAGAATCCAAAGCAAACTCAATCTTTAAACATAAAACTATCAAAATACCAAACTGTAATGCTTACCACACACGACCGCACACACAAAGACACAGTGTTTCTTTCAGACATTTTTACACCGGAGGTGGGGGGGGCACTTGCAATTTTCAGGGGGGCGTCTAAAATTTCCGGGGAGGGGAAGATTACATTAGTAAAAGTATATACTTTCTATATAAATTTTATTTTGTTCGGGGGGAGGGGGTGGTGGGGGTGGGAGGGGGGGGGGGGGCGTTAGACGCCTGAAAGAAACGCTTCACATACATACACACTAATGTAATAAGAAAGTATTTCGTTTATCATTGCAGTGGAGCTTACATTAATCTTGGAGTTTGGCTTATATATAAAAATAAAGAAAAATACTCTTTAACCACATCTTGTGTCAGATTTATGGTGGGGCAGCAGGTCTACAAACATATGTTAAGTACTGACGGGGTTTTCCAAAAACATTTTTGTCTGTTTTCGAGCAATAACATGCATTAACTATTTAAGAAAAAAATTGTTGTCTAGTGCCAAAATGTGGTATGAAGAAAATGTGTAGCTTTTTCAATCTGTTTATTAGTGTATTCAGCCAGCTGCGTGTTGCTGTTATAAGAGTTTCTTCCAGGCATCTCCCCGCGAACGAAATGGAATATATTTAGAAAACATACTTTTACCAGTGTCCGACCAACCCCCGGAAATTTTTTGTCCGCCCCCCCCCCCCCGAAATTATCAAGTGCACCCCCTCCCCCCGGAGAAAAATGTCTGGAAGAAACACTGGTTGTTATTCGTCCCTGATGCTGGAACAATGTGATGTTGACGGGAGCAGTTTACTACAATACTACAACACAATTTACAATCTTGTAAATGTTGTGTGAAGACATCATTACAGTCTGACTAGTCTTGTGAGCACTTACATTAATACGTGCTCCATGTAATTAACCACTTTGAAACATATCTTCACTAAATTATCACCAAATGTGTTGTATTGAATACGTTCATGTACAAAACGTTAATTTAAATTGATTAATTTAATTATCTCTCGTTTTTAATAGAGGTAACTTCAGCAGTGATTAAAAAATATATTTTATAGTTGTATTAATTGTTAAAGCTAATTATTAATCCCCGGTTAAAATTTTAAAATCTTCGATCATATGCGTTCAAACAATCCATTAGAAGATTTCACTATCATTTCACTATCATACCAAAATCACGGTTAGCAAAAAAAAAAAGGCAGGCATGTATTACTTTATCCTTTAAACATAAATTTGTCTGATGCAAATGGTTTTTGCATACCTTTATCTGATAACACTTATATTAATTAAATGGTCTACTTGGTAAGACTTTATATTGCTATTGTAGGAAACAAAAAAAAACTATGTCCTTTTAAGCAATCAAAGTATTGTTTTTCTCATTAGCAATAACATTATTCAAAGTTTTAAACACGATTTTTATTTAAAACAATTTTTTATTTGCCTCGAGGAGTCTTATGTGACCTGATTGAGAACCGCTCTCAACTTCTTATAACCAGAAGCGTCAAATGTCTTGAGTCCCAGATATTCATCTCTGGTCTCGTTAAAAAGTTTTTCCTCCAGGCAACCGATGACCAGACTGTCCACGTCCTGGAAGAATTTGTTGGCGAACAGCTGCATCGATTGTGTCAGTGATGGGAGGTCACCTGTAGGCGAAAAGACGTTGTCACGAAATGTCAGGTTTGTGAATGCGAAAAGAAGAAACAATGAACAAAAAAAAATTAAATTTGTTTTGTTTGTAGAACATAATATGGAAATGCTATAGGTCTATACTTTTACTTATAAATTACACTTTTAATTATTATAAAATAATTGAATTAAATTAAAAAAAATACTAGTTTTATTAGCAATAAATAACTAGTCTAGCTAAAATAGTCTTTTAAAACCGATTGTTGAAAAATTATGCCGCTGAAATGCCCTGTGTAGTTTTGATGTACCTATAGTTAAAATACAAATATCCCGAACAAATTGTCCGGCACATGTTTTATTGTTGATGTTCTGTCGCCAAACTTTGTATCGGTTGACATAAGAACTGTGGTCAGGGTCTCCTGTAAAATAAAGTGGTTGCACGTAACTAATGCAGGAAGGTCGTCATTATAAAGGATAAATAGCAAAACAGAGGAAGGAAAAAGTAAACTCGTCTAAAGTAATATTAGACTGAGCTTTTAAACAGATGGCCGGACTGTAATATACTTGAATGACCTTATTAATGTAATATGTATCGAAATTCTTATGACAAGTTAAGATCAAATAGCATATCACAAAGATTTGAGGACAGTTAACAAATATGAATTGTTCTTTTCAAAATATCGATTGATTTTAACTAGAGGTGGACTGGTCTTTTATAATGATTGAGTAATAACACAAGGATATTTTACTCGCTTCGTTTTTACAATGATTGAATGACCTTAAGCAAAAACGGGTTACTTTGAACAAAGAGGTATTGACCTAAAACAAAGATAGAGTGACCGAAACTGACATTTCCAGACCTTTAACCAAGATGGACTGACAGTGAAGAAAGACGGAATGACCTTGAACTTGAATAGACTGACCTTTAAATGTACCCCTGATGCCCAGCTGGGGGTTGTAGTTGAGCGTTACAAAGAAAGTCTCGTCTGGCACGTGAGTGGACCGTGTCCAGTTTAGCAAGGTGTGAGCAGTTTCGTTGTGGAGGATGTAATCAACAAAATATCTGTGGGGTATGTAATCAACAAAGTGCATGTAATAATAATGAGGGTGTAATCAACAAGTGTCTGTAATAATGTGTGAATGTAATCAACAAAGTGTCTGTAATAATGTGTGGATGTAATCAACAAAGTGTCTGTAATAATGTGTGGATGTAATCAACAAAGTGTCTGTAATAATGTGTGTATGTAATCAACAAAGTGTCTGTAATAATGTGAGGATGTAATCAACAAAGTGTCTGTAATAATGTGTGGATGTAATCAACAAAGTGTCTGTAATATTGTGTGGATGTAATCAACAAAGTGTCTGTAATAATGTGTGTATGTAATCAACAAAGTGTCTGTAATAATGTGTGAATGTAATCAACAAAGTGTCTGTAATAATGTGTGTATGTAATCAACAAAGTGTCTGTTGGTATGTAATCAACAAAGTGTCTGTAATAATGTGTGGATGTAATCAACAAAGTGTCTGTAATAATGTGTGGATGTAATCAACAAAGTGTCTGTAATAATGTGTGAATGTAATCAACAAAGTGTCTGTAATAATGTGTGAATGTAATCAACAAAGTGTCTGTAATAATGTGTGAATGTAATCAACAAAGTGTCTGTAATAATGTGTGGATGTAATCAACAAAGTGTCTGTAATAATGTGTGAATGTAATCAACAAAGTGTCTGTAATAATGTGTGAATGTAATCAACAAAGTGTCTGTAATAATGTGTGAATGTAATCAACAAAGTGTCTGTAATAATGTGTGGATGTAATCAACAAAGTGTCTGTAATAATGTGTGGATGTAATCAACAAAGTGTCTGTAATAATGTGAGGATGTAATCAACAAAGTATCTGTAATAATGTGTGTGTGGATGTAATCAACAAAGTGTCTGTAATAATGTGTGAATGTAATCAACAAAGTGTCTGTAATAATGTGTGAATGTAATCAACAAAGTGTCTGTAATAATGTGTGAATGTAATCAACAAAGTGTCTGTAATAATGTGTGGATGTAATCAACAAAGTGTCTGTAATAATGTGTGGATGTAATCAACAAAGTGTCTGTAATAATGTGTGAATGTAATCAACAAAGTGTCTGTAATAATGTGTGGATGTAATCAACAAAGTGTCTGTAATAATGTGTGGATGTAATCAACAAAGTGTCTGTAATAATGTGTGGATGTAATCAACAAAGTGTCTGTAATAATGTGAGGATATAATCAACAAAGTGCATGTAATAATGTGTGGATGTAATCAACAAAGTGTCTGTAATAATGTGTGGATGTAATCAACAAAGTGTCTGTAATAATGTGTGGATGTAATCAATAAAGTGTGTAATAATGTGTGGATGTAATCAACAAAGTGTCTGTAATAATGTGTGGATGTAATCAACAAAGTGTCTGTAATAATGTGTGGATGTAATCAATAAAGTGTGTAATAATGTGTGGATGTAATCAACAAAGTGTCTGTAATAATGTGTGGATGTAATCAACAAAGTGTCTGTAATAATGTGTGGATGTAATCAACAAAGTGTCTGTAATAATGTGTGGATGTAATCAACAAAGTGTCTGTAATAATGTGTGGATGTAATCAACAAAGTGTCTGTAATAATGTGTGGATGTAATCAACAAAGTGTCTGTAATAATGTGAGGATGTAATCAACAAAGTGCATGTAATAATGTGTGGATGTAATCAACAAAGTGTCTGTAATAATGTGTGGATGTAATCAACAAAGTGTCTGTAATAATGTGTGAATGTAATCAACAAAGTGTCTGTAATAATGTGAGGATGTAATCAACAAAGTGTCTGTAATAATGTGTGGATGTAATCAACAAAGTGTCTGTAATAATGTGTGGATGTAATCAAAAAAGTGTCTGTAATAATGTGTGGATGTAATCAACAAAGTTTCTGTAATAATGTGTGGATGTAATCAACAAAGTTTCTGTAATAATGTGTGGATGTAATCAACAAAGTGTCTGTAATAATGTGTGGATGTAATCAACAAAGTGTCTGTAATAATGTGTGAATGTAATCAACAAAGTGTCTGTAATAATGTGAGGATGTAATCAACAAAGTGTCTGTAATAATGTGTGTGTGGATGTAATCAACAAAGTGTCTGTAATAATGTGTGGATGTAATCAAAAAAGTGTCTGTAATAATGTGTGGATGTAATCAACAAAGTTTCTGTAATAATGTGTGGATGTAATCAACAAAGTGTCTGTAATAATGTGTGGATGTAATCAACAAAGTGTCTGTAATAATGTGAGGATGTAATCAACAAAGTGTCTGTAATAATGTGAGGATGTAATCAACAAAGTGCATGTAATAATGTGTGGATGTAATCAACAAAGTGTCTGTAATAATATGTGGATGTAATCAACAAAGTGTCTGTAATAATGTGTGGATGTAATCAACAAAGTGTCTGTAATAATGTGTGGATGTAATCAACAAAGTGTCTGTAATAATGTGTGGATGTAATCAATAAAGTGTGTAATAATGTGTGGATGTAATCAACAAAGTTTCTGTAATAATGTGTGGATGTAATCAACAAAGTGTCTGTAATAATGTGTGGATGTAATCAACAAAGTGCATGTAATAATGTGTGGATGTAATCAACAAAGTGTCTGTAATAATGTGTGGATGTAATCAACAAAGTGTCTGTAATAATGTGTGAATGTAATCAACAAAGTGTCTGTAATAATGTGTGGATGTAATCAACAAAGTGTCTGTAATAATGTGTGGATGTAATCAACAAAGTGTCTGTAATAATGTGTGGATGTAATCAAAAAAGTGTCTGTAATAATGTGTGGATGTAATCAACAAAGTGTCTGTAATAATGTGTGGATGTAATCAACAAAGTGTCTGTAATAATGTGTGAATGTAATCAACAAAGTGTCTGTAATAATGTGTGGATGTAATCAACAAAGTGTCTGTAATAATGTGTGGATGTAATCAACAAAGTGTCTGTAATAATGTGTGGATGTAATCAACAAAGTGTCTGTAATAATGTGTGGATGTAATCAACAAAGTGTCTGTAATAATGTGTGGATGTAATCAACAAAGTGTCTGTAATAATGTGTGGATGTAATCAACAAAGTGTCTGTAATAATGTGAGGATGTAATCAACAAAGTGTCTGTAATAATGTGATGATGTAATCAACAAAGTGCATGTAATAATGTGTGGATGTAATCAACAAAGTGTCTGTAATAATATGTGGATGTAATCAACAAAGTGTCTGTAATAATGTGTGGATGTAATCAACAAAGTGTCTGTAATAATGTGTGGATGTAATCAACAAAGTGTCTGTAATAATGTGTGGATGTAATCAACAAAGTGTCTGTAATATTGTGTGGATGTAATCAACAAAGTGTCTGTAATAATGTGTGGATGTAATCAACAAAGTGTCTGTAATAATGTGTGGATGTAATCAACAAAGTGTCTGTAATAATGTGTGGATGTAATCAACAAAGTGTCTGTAATAATGTGTGGATGTAATCAACAAAGTGTCTATAATAATGTGTGGATGTAATCAACAAAGTGTCTGTAATAATGTGTGTATGTAATCAACAAAGTGCATGTAATAATGTGTGGATGTAATCAACAAAGTGTCTGTAATAATGTGTGGATGTAATCAACAAAGTGTCTGTAATAATGTGAGGATATAATCAACAAAGTGCATGTAATAATGTGAGGATGTAATCAACAAAGTGTCTGTAATAATGTGTGGATGTAATCAACAAAGTGTCTGTAATAATGTGTGGATGTAATCAACAAAGTGTCTGTAATAATGTGTGTATGTAATCAACAAAGTGTCTGTAATAATGTGAGGATGTAATCAACAAAGTGTCTGTAATAATGTGTGGATGTAATCAACAAAGTGTCTGTAATAATGTGTGGATGTAATCAACAAAGTGTCTGTAATAATGTGTGGATGTAATCAACAAAGTGTCTGTAATAATGTGTGGATGTAATCAACAAAGTGTCTGTAATAATGTGTGGATGTAATCAACAAAGTGTCTGTAATAATGTGAGGATATAATCAACAAAGTGCATGTAATAATGTGAGGATGTAATCAACAAAGTGTCTGTAATAATGTGTGGATGTAATCAACAAAGTGTCTGTAATAATGTGTGGATGTAATCAACAAAGTGTCTGTAATAATGTGTGGATGTAATCAACAAAGTGCATGTAATAATAATGAGGGTGTAATCAACAAAGGGTGTGAAATTTTGTTGAGTATTTCATCATGCACGAGTACTGCTTTTTTTTTAAAGTAATGATCACATAAAGAGGACAAGTTTCCTAGAAAATCGGATACTTTAAAAAGCAGTAACTACCTGTTTACTACCACATGAACTTGACCTTTCACTGGGCGGATTCCCAAGGGCGGCATTGTTCCATAGAACCGACCAGGGATGACGCTGAGGAATGATTTAAACTTTATACAAACTGTGTTTTTAAAATAAAAAGAGGCTTATTGAGCGACAGTTAAGTCGATCCATATATTTATTATTTAGGGCTAGGGCTAGGGCTGGGGCTAGGACTAGGGCTAGGGCTAGGGCTAGATCTAGGGCTAGGGCTAGGGCTAGGGCTGGGGCTGGGGCTAGGGTTAGGGCTAGGGCTAGGGCTAGGGCTAGGGCTAGGGCTAGGGCTAGGGCTAGGGCTAGGGCTAGGGCTAGGGCTAGGGCTAGGGCTAGGGCTAGGGCTAGGGCTAGGGCTAGGGCTAGGGCTAGGGCTAGGGCTAGGGCTAGGGCTAGGGCTAGGGCTAGGGCTAGGGCTAGGGCTAGGGCTAGGGCTAGGGCTAGGGCTAGGGCTAGGGCTAGGGCTAGGGCTAGGGCTAGGGCTAGGGCTAGGGCTAGGGCTAGGGCTAGGGCTAGGGCTAATATCTAGGGTTGGGGTTGGGTTTGGATTTAGTATTTGGTTGAGATGGATGTTTGGTTTAGGTTTTTTCTTAAGGTTAGGATTAAGTTAAGATATAGGTCTACAAGTTGGAGTTTGGTTTGGGGTTGTGTTTAGGGTTAGGTTTAATCATAGGGTTGGAGTTTTGGTTAGGGTTAGGGTCATGATTCTTGAGCTAGTGGGAGGGGGGGGGGGGTAATTACTCAGTGGGGTAATACACAGGGGGTAATAGATCCTTGTGGTGATGTCGGTGTGGGGGGGGGGGGGGGGGGAATGCCCGGGGGGTAGTTGACAGCTGGAGGGGGTAATGTCCTAGACCCGTTTAATTGTATGTGACTGTAAATAGATATCAAATTATGTTGTGATTCCAATGTCACTTCTTCGTTGTATACAAGTGCGAGTTTACAAGGGTACCATACACGCTTGCGGTTTTCAAGAATTAATGTACCCAATGTTTTGTTTTTGAAAATGTAACAAGAATTCACCAGCTAACTTTGTATCAACTGACCGTTTCAGGCTACCTGCCATGTCGTTGCTGCCGTTGAAAGCTTTGAGAATCTTGACCAGCTGACCGTTGGTCTTGAGAGGGAACTCCTGCCCCGTCAGGTTGATGTAGTACCTCCACTTCTTGTAGCGCCAGAGGTCCTCCATACACAAGATTTCTGGCTCCAGGACGCTGAACTTACCCCAGGTAACGTCAATACGCCGTGACGTCATGAAGACGTTAGGGAAACATTTGGCTATGGCAGATACAGCCTGATAAAACTTGATGGGTGATTTCTTGTCTACGTGGATACAGTAGTAGTTCTGTGGTCTATAAATAGATCGGAGCAAGCGCTCGACCATCTCTACGTCTTTGTAGACCAATATAGAAAAAGCTAACGGGAAATCCCGTTCTTCTTGTGATAAAAAGGAATCGATGTATCCGCGGTATCGCTTGAAGTGAACACAGTCGCTAGTTAAATCAATGTAGAAATCGTCATTGAAAGCTTTTGGCGATTTGGTGAGATTGTTTTGTAAAGTCTGATGTAAGATTTGCTTGTCTCCAGCTATAAGTGCAGCACAGTTTGTGTCCTTAACGCTGTAGATTGTGGACATGTTAAGTAACCATTCAGCTGCTGTGGCGAGTGGCGGTTTGATGATGTTGTGGATTCGGTTACCACTTAGATGATGTTGAACGCTGTGGGTTTGATTCCCACTTGTATGATGTTGAACGTTGTGGGTTCGATTCCCACTTAAATAATGTTGAACCTTGTGGGTTCGATTCCCACTTGTATGATGTTGAACGTTGTTTTGACTTTGCATCACAAAGTGTAGCAGCATCAAATAGGGCGTCAGCAGGACTAAGAACGATGCAACGACAGCAAAAAGTTTGATGTATGTTAAAGCTGGCCTCCAATTCAGTCGGTTAGCCGCCATTTGTACAGCTTATTGACTAATAACCAGCACTAAACATGAGAAAAATAGCGAGATGTTATAATAGAGAAATGATTAAATATTAAAACATGTACAGTAGTTTACTTTTAAATTAGGTAAAATATTTTAAAAATACACCCCTCATAACATGTTTATGTGAGTAAGATTTGCATTATCTCGATGCTTAAATTTTTCATTGTTTTTCAGGTAAACAATTTTGTGCCCGAAACAAGAAAAAAAACCATAAAAAAAACATCTTCTGGCTCTGAGAATTAGGGCAGTTTGTTGTTAAAAAACCAACCGGATGCGGGGGATGTTGAACAGATATTGTTATAATGTGAAAAAAAAACAAAGGTGAAATCAGCACACAAAACGATACACACACATATATAAATATACACATACACACACACTCACTAGCATACACAAGCACTCATGAGCATACCTACGACAGAGTTAGAACCAATATATTGTGTTATTATAACAATAATATGTGCCGTATCTCATGTCGTTTCTAGTCAATGTTTTGGATTCACCCCCCCCCCCCCCCTTCCGCTTGGACGTCATACACTGAAGACCCCTCTACATGTGTACGTGCTTGTGCATCTACTTTTGCAGGTGCATGTACACTTTTAATAAGATTATTACATTTTACGTACATATTAATTCCAAGTTTTGTGTATTGAATTTCTGCATTGTTATATTCGGGTAAAAGTCACAAACTGCAAATACTTGTTATAAAATTAATATTTCCAAGAAAATTGACATAATAGCGGACATAAAAGCGTGTATTGATTCAAATGAGGCAGACACAAAAAAGCAGGTATGAGAGGTATGTACTTAAGGGGTAAAAAGATACAGTTGAGAATATGTTTGACTTCTTTATCAACACCGCGTTAAGGGTTTTAAGTTACCGTATTTGAGAATGCTTTCTTGGATTTCTCATCCAAAGGTTACAATTTTTAACTGTCTATTCAAATACCAAGGCCTGAATTTTCTCTGAGTGTAAGTGGGTATTTTTTGTGAAGGTGAAACTTTTGGCGAAAGAAACGAATTTATTTTTAGAGCTAAGGAATAAAATATAAAAATAAATATAGGCCTAGCTGTAAATATATATCCACACTGAAAATGTCAAGGACACATTAATAAATAAAAGCGTTAAAAGCTGAAACCACGATACAACGAGTTGCGAATATTTTAAATTGACTGCCGACTTGTTTATCTATACATTTTAAGTGTTAATAAAATAGCAGTAAAATGTTACATCTCAAAGATGGCACAATATACAACATTTTGCGACATTACGCCACTCAAATTCTAATCTAAGTCATAACGAAAACAATGTAAAAATTCATAAAAAAACGTTTTAATAAAAAGCTTTTATGTAATAATTCACTAAAAAGGCGAAAATAAATTATACACTAAAATTTAAATAACTATAAATAAAAGCGTGCGTCACTTAAGTATCTATTGGATACCGCTACTAATATTTTTTTTTATAGTTATTTAAATAGTAGTGTATAATTTTGTTCTACTTTTTAGTGCATTATTAAATAAAAGCTTGTCATTAAAACCTTTTTTATAATTTTTTTTAGTACTTTACATGTTTTATTTACAATACAGTTACATGATTAATAGACGCCCTATTGAACGTGATAACTTGTGTATAATAGCGCGGAATAGCTTGATAAGACTACTAATTTGGACCCGCAATTTCGCTAGGGCAATGCGATCTAGACAGACTGACGGCAAAATGAAGAGGAAGTGATGTTAAATAAAAGCTTGTAAAAAAATAAAAAAACGTTTTCTCGTTGTCTGTCGTTAAATTTATGGTACATAAAATTCTTTTTTAAGTGGTCTGAGTTTGTTTTATTGAGCAATGTCGGTGAACTATATTCACAAGGACACCACAACGACGGAGTGGTAAAAACGCATGATTTATTCCAGTGGCGACGCTAGGTCGGGTGTCACACGGTGCGGCACTCAGTGGTGTCACCCCCCCCCCACAAGAAACAAAGTATATATATATATATATATATATATATATATATATATATATATATATATATATATATATATATATATATAATAACGATGTTTAAGGTGTCATGGTGTCACACCCAGCCTCTTGTAATAATTGTCTATTAGTACTTACAAGTCTATTTAATTTTAATTAATCATTATGATACTGGCAAAAGAGCATTGTCTCCAAAACATTTTGTAATATTGTGCATTGGTGTCACCCCCCTAAATGGCGTCATCCGGTGCGGTCCGCACCCCCGCCCCGCCTTTACTATGCCACTGCTTTATTCTCACTTTTACAATATTTTTATTTCTAAAATCTTAGGGTGAGAGCGTTTGAAAGAACACCCACATTCTTTTTATCTACTTTGATCTGCGTTTACAGTTGCTGTAACTTTATTGCAAGTTAAAAAAATTTCCCCTGAGCAAAATCCAATGCAGAACTAACCAAGTTGTAACCGAATGCTTTAGTCTAAATCAAAATCTTAAACAAAAAGACTCTAACCCGCTAGAAAATTGTTTAAAGCGAAACCATAAAAAAAGTATTCGAATTCATCAGCCTTATTGTTTTAGATTCTCTTATCGATGGTCACAGCTAATTTGACACAGCTTTAATATAGTAGACATTTTAAACTGCTATGTTGTGCCCTGGATTGGACACAGTCTATAGCGTTATGATGAATAAAATACATGGTCTAGGAAAATCCTACTCCTTTAAGGCCTTCATAGCTATGTTTATGTTCTAACTGCTAACTTGGTTTTCTGTTTAGGAATAATTTAAATTACCATTTATAAATTTGTCAAATATATTCTTGTGTTTTCTTCAACGAACATAACTTATTTTAATAATACTTTTGAAAAAAATTGTTAATAAATAAGTATACGATTGTTAGTTATCTTTCAATAACTGTAGGTTAAAAATGTGGTATTCACCTTATTGTTTCAACTATTTTTTTAATCTCTTATACCAATCCATTTGTGAGGGAAATATTCACTTTCTGTTGACGTCTGATTGTTTACGTTGTTATAATAGATGGTAGCTCCATCAGCGAGCCAAGCTGCCCACCAGCCGAACGATCCAGTCGAGATGATCAGATGAGTTGTGCTGGCTAAAATGGCCAAATGTCCTGCAGCAGGACCTGAGTCTAGGACAATCAGGTCCTGTTGGTCACTGAAGTTCTCCCTGCACCACAGCGGGTCGTCACTGCTGATGATAAACAAAGCTGTACCGGACAGCAAGCTCCTCATTAATTTGATGGCTTTAGTAAAGTAAGATAAGGGGGCTATAATTAACTTCCTGGCTACCGATCGTTGGACCTTCCCCCTGTAGATGTGTACACCAACAAACGTCACAACAAACGTCAACGATGGATACAATCTCCTGAGGTTTTTGTAGAATTGGTTGGCGAAATTCTGGATCTCTGGGTGAAACGTGAACTCTCGTCGAATCTCCTCCTGGACGAGATGAAAATATTTCCACGACTGATACTGACCCCTGAGGGTGAGGTTTATCCTCGGGAGTTCCGCGTGAGCAGCTTCAGTTCTCCAAGTACTCAACACGGGCCACCTGAAGGGAGAAGTCGTTAGTGATAGAAAACTGGAGATTGTGGGAGAACTAAATGTAGTCTAGTGTTGGTGATAGAAAACTGGAGATTGTGGGAGAACTAAATGTAGTCTAGTGTTGGTGATAGAAAACTGGAGATTGGGGGAGAACTAAATGTAGTCTAGTGTTGGTGATAGAAAACTGGAGATTGTGGGAGAACTAAATGTAGTCTAGTGTTGGTGATAGAAAACTGGAGATTGTGGGAGAACTAAATGTAGTCTAGTGTTGGTGATAGAAAACTGGAGATTGTGGGAGAACTAAATGTAGTCTAGTGTTGGTGATAGAAAACTGGAGATTGTGGGAGAACTAAATGTAGTCTAGGGTTGGTGATAGAAAACTGGAGATTGTGGGAGAACTAAATGTAGTCTAGTGTTGGTGATAGAAAACTGGAGATTGTGGGAGAACTAAATGTAGTCTAGTGTTGGTGATAGAAAACTGGAGATTGTGGGAGAACTAAATGTAGTCTAGTGTTGGTGATAGAAAACTGGAGATTGGGGGAGAACTAAATGTAGTCTAGTGTTGGTGATAGAAAACTGGAGATTGTGGGAGAACTAAATGTAGTCTAGGGTTGGTGATAGAAAACTGGAGATTGTGGCAGAAGTAAATGTGGTCTAGGGTTGGTGATAGAAAACTGGAGATTTTGGGAGAACTAAATGTAGTCTAGTGTTGGTGATAGAAAACTGGAGATTGTGGGAGAACTAAATGTGGTCTAGGGTTGGTGATAGAAAACTGGAGATTGGGGGAGAACTAAATGTAGTCTAGTGTTGGTGATAGAAAACTGGAGATTGTGGGAGAACTAAATGTAGTCTAGTGTTGGTGATAGAAAACTGGAGATTGTGGGAGAACTAAATGTAGTCTAGGGTTGGTGATAGAAAACTGGAGATTGTGGCAGAAGTAAATGTGGTCTAGGGTTGGTGATAGAAAACTGGAGATTGTGGGAGAACTAAATGTAGTCTAGCTGGATTTTCACACAGTGTTTCTTCCAGACTTGTCTCCCGGAGGAAGGGGTGGGGTGTCTCCGAAATTATATATATATATATATATATATATATATATATATATATATATATATATATATATATATATATTATATACTTAATGGAAATATATAGTTTATAAGCATCCTCTTCTCCCACCCGAGAAGTTTAAAGTGCCCCCCTCACTCTCGTAGAAAAATATCTGAAAGAAACCCTTTCACAAACATAACATACCCTGAAGCACGAATGTAGTTTTTCGTAATGGAAATGTTGAATATTTTTCGTAAATTTTCACCACCCTCAATCAAGGGCTGTCTATTTTTAGCTCGAGCTATACCTAGCAGTGAAGCGTACAGAAACATTTGATCACCCAGGAGAGACACCAAATAGTCTTCCCTTGTCTGAACTTCCAAAGATTCATTTGTGAGGGCTGGTGGGCCATATTTTCTTACAGATGCTAGTCTAGCAGTCAGAAATTTGTCACTGTCGCTGAACCTAAATGAGAACAGGACACGGTTAATCAGGAACTACAACTGCCATAATAATTGTTCACGTCCTCGAAAGTATGATAATAATTTTAATTCTGAATAATCTTAATGTATAAATAGATCACAAAGATAAGAGGCTAAATTCCCAGGTTGCCCAATTCTGTTTTCAAAATAAACGACAATGTAACTGATACATGGAGTAAAAATTATATACTTCTAGGAGCACACGTAACATCCCTATGAATGTTAATTTTATCTACCCGTGTCGTTAAATTCTCTTGCCTTAAAAATAAAGCGAATAATTTTAAGGACTTACAGTAGAAGAAAGAAAAACGCCAACACCGAAAGGTTGAGAGTGATGAATGTGAACTTAACTCGGCTTTTGACAAGGGACCTTATAGGCATATCATGTCTGTAAATAAAAACAGAAAATGTTTTAGGCATGTGTAAACAAAAGTGCTTTAGGGATGTCATGTTTGTTAACAAAAAATATGTTAGACAATAGCTATCTGAAAACAAAGCAAGAAATATTTGAGATATGTCACATCTGTAGCCTAAATAATAAGCGACTTTTGAATTTGTTATCGCTGAAGAAGAAAAGGAACCTTCATCAAACAAATCTGAAGTCACGTTGATAGTTGTACAGCATGTGACACTAAATAAACACCATGTCAGACTAAATTTACACCATAAGACACTAAATTTACAGCATGTGACACTAAATTTACAGCATGTGACACTAAACTTACAATATGTGACACTAAATTTACACCATGTGACACTAAATTTACAGCAAGTGATACTAAATTTACACCATGTGACACTAAATTTACAGCATGTGACACTAAATTTACAGCATGTGACACTAAATTTACACCATGTGACACTAAATTTGCACCATGTGATACTAAATTTACACCATGTGACACTAAATTTACACCATGTGACACTAAATTTGCACCATGTGATACTAAATTTACACCATGTGACACTAAATTTATAGCATGTGACACTAAATTTACAGCATGTGACACTAAATTTACAGAATGTGACACTAAGTTTACAGAATGTGACACTAAATTTACACCATGTGACACTAAATTTACAGCAAGTGACACTAAATTCACTGACGGTGACATTAAAAAACAGACTATAATACTGGAATTAATTATTACAATTAAAAAAAAATAAACAACAACATCCAATCATAAAGGAATTTATTCTTACACTAAAAAAAACAGCCTATAATACAGTAATTTATGAAAGAGCAGGAGTCTTTAATAGGATTTGCAAGATCTGTTTGAAGTTTTGTTTTACTTGCACGGATATTTTAATAAAATGTGTGTAGAGATTATCCCCCCCCCTCCCCCCCCACCCAACAATTTTCGACCTTCCCTCACATGTCTTATTTTGACACTCGTTGTCCCGGATGTAAGCGTCCAAAGAAAAGTTTTCTAAAAGTTTACGACATTCTCAATTCAATAGCGTGTTGTGTGTGGGTAGCTGGCACTTCACCAAATCTTTACACGTTGGTGAATTCTTTTTTCGAATTGTCTTTATTTAAAATGTTGAAATTAGAATATAAAATATATTGAAGAAAATAAAACAAAATGTTTGAAAAATACAAAAATACGATGAAAGCTTGTTTTTATTGTACATTGCTAATTTTATTTTTCTTTTAAAAACGAATACTGTTGTTTAACAGCTCGTATGTTGTGTACAGGTAAAACGTTGTGTGTGATTTAAAATATTTTGGTGTTATTTTTAACAAGTGAGCGTACTTTTTCACACCAACGCCGCACGAAAAGTTCACAAAAGTCACATTTTGCTGAACACTCCCTACTATCCCCCCCCCCCCCCCCCCCTCCCCACCTGGCTTGACGTATTAAGTGTATGATCCTATTTCACAGTTGGAATCTTAATCTAAAAATAGACAAGTTGGACAAAAAAACAAAAAAACCTGTGAATTTAAGAGTTGAATTAAGACGCTTGACTTGTTATCTAAACGCAAACAACTGCAACAAAGCGTTTTTGTCAATAGTGCAGTAATTTAAACGACTTTATCGCCATTTTTACAAGAAATGTATCCTATTTTTGAAGTCTAAACTATTAAATGTTGATAGGATTTTAAGATGTCGTGAATTGTTTAGGTAAATTATTCAGTTAGAGAAATCTCGTGCTAACAAGATGTAATAAAGTTACCCCAGACTACGGGACAAATCTTAAGCCGCATGTCTTTTGTAACAAGATCTTATACAATGTGATCAGTCTTGGCAGCGTTAAAGTTGTAAATCTGTGCACACGACGAAACAAACCAAAGTAATTCCTATATCGTTGGCTGTTTTTTTAGTGTCAGAATATTCTTTTTAATCTCTTAAACTGGAGAGCGTATTTCATGCTTTACACAAGATTTACAAAGATAAAAGCACATACTGGTTTACTAACTTACTAAAGAATATTCGTGTTTTATATTTGTAGGTATAATTCGATTTTAATAAATCAAATAAAACATTGTGATTGATTGAGTGATTTATATTGCTATTAAGAAACATCATTAGATTCGATCATTACATGTCTTAAACAATTTAGAAAATTAAAGTATTCAAGTATATTAAACAAGTACCAACTTACCATAATTCTATATTCCTTTGGATTACACTAAAAAGGGTCTACTTGGTAAGTTTGTTCTTTAAATAGTTTAACAATGTAAGAACTTTATCTAACAACGAAAATAAAACAGATTGCACTATTTTCTAATGAAATCAAATATGTAAAAGAATATAGGAAATAAAAGAAAAAAAATCCAGACTTTTGTCTGTCGACTTCAAAGCGAGGCTAAGCTAGTTACGTCATAAAAAGGAAAGATTGATTAGTTTGGCTTATTTTACACCTATGGCCATATATGGTAATGATTTTATTCTGCGAAATCGAGACAGTTTTTTTACACGTCGTATGGCATTTAAAAAAACCCACTGAGGCAATCACACCACCACCCTTCAGCCACCCCCCCCCCCCCCACCTCCACATGCACTGGAACAAACCCATCTACTGACTGGAACACACACAGACACACACACGCACACACACACACAGACACACACAGACACACACACAGACACACACAGACACACACACACAGACACACACACACAGACACACACACAGACACACACACAGACACACACACGCAGACACACACACACTATTGTAGTTACGTATATTCATGCGACGCACAGCAAACCATGAATCGTATTGGTGAATGGTTTATTTTTTCTCTAGGCATTTTGATAAGGTTTTCAAATCAATGTTAATTTACCAACAAAATAAAGGAATAAAAGAAAACAATAATAAATAAATAAATCACTACACCCAATGTCCAGCCACAATTGTCGATTTAAAACTTTTCTGTTTTGTGGACATTTTTTATGTCTATAGTTTATTTAATAATAAAATTAAAAGAAAAAAAACCGAGGTAATATGGAAGTGTGTATGACAAGATTGGATGAGGGTACATGAATTTCTACAGGGTTTGCTTCAGTCTTCGCCAACTTTCTTCAGTGATAACGATACATAACACAACAAATATTAACAATGAAGTCGATCGCTTTATACAATATGCGACGAAAAAAACCCACATTGTTAAAATAATTAAAATATTTTTTTCTGGTTTCATTTAACACACGAACTCACTATTCATGGCCTCGTAATTTGTTTCAATTATTGAAAGAATTGAGGAAATGTAATGAAGTAAGGTGAGGGTTTAGAGGAAATGTAATGTGTTGTGTAAGGTTACACTATTGAGGGTTTAGAGGAAATGAAATGTGTTGTTTAAGGTTACACTATTGAGGGTTTAGAGGAAATGTAATGTGTTGTTTAAGGTTACACTATTGAGGGTTTAGAGGAAATGTAATGTGTTGTGTAAGGTTACACTATTGAGGGTTTAGAGGAAATGTAATTGTTTTTGTAGTCCAACTATTGAGGGTTGATAAGAAATGTAACGTGTAATTTTAGGTTCATTTGAACGTAAAATTCTTCGTGTACACTTTTAGTTAGACACGTTAGCGAGTGCACAGGTTAGACAAATGAACGTATCGAGTCTGTTTCAGTGTTTGTTTAGGTAGGTTGTACCATGTAGGCCTACATGGGCGGAGTCAACAACTGGAGGGTGTGGCTGGTGACAACATAAGGTGTGGCTGTGTGGCTGGTGACAACATGAGGGTGTGGCTGTGTGGGTGGCGATAACTTAGGGTGTGGCGACAAACTGCACATGATGTGGTGGTGGATTTAAAATATGATCCGTGCGCACACAATTGGATAATATTGCTGCATGCTTATATGGACATGCACGTGACATCATATAGGACTAATGTAAGTCTATTGTGATTTATATAGAGCTAGCATACCCATCGTGTGTTGCTGCGATCTAGTCCTACACACCAGAGTGACGAAGTATAAATACTATCAATTTTGTGTTTTTAGATATGCGATCTCTTTTTTTTCCAAGTGTAAACAGCACTGGCACTATGTTGGCTCTTAGATGCCCTACGGCGTACTGTATGAAAGACCTGAGAGTACGTTAATCGTTCTCTGTAATATTGAGTATATCACCGCTCAAGTGTCAGAGGCGTCGCCGAACACTTTCGAGAGCCACCACTTACATATCTGTAGGGGCGCAGTGTGCAACCCGTGGGTGGGTTTAGTCTCTGAGTATTGTGGCCTACCGTGGACCGATTGTATGGCGCTCTTTAAAACGATGTTAGGTGTTACAGTTCTTGTTGGGGAACAGTTTGACCGTTGAATAAAGTAGTACCCCTGCTCCACCGTGCAAGGCGCCCAATCAACGGATCCCACCAGTGTTTCTTCCAGACTTTTTTTCTCCGGGGGGGGGGGGCACTTGAAATTTTCAGGGGGGGGGGGGGGCGGTAGACTTTCTTCTGGGGGAGGGGGGCGGACACTGTTAAAAGTATATATTTTCTATATAAATTTTATTTCGTCCAGGGGGGGGGGGGCGGTAAACTTTTTTCGGAGGGGCAGAGCCCCCCCCCCCCCCCCAGGAAGATGCCTGGAAGAAACTCTGGATCCCACGCGCTAAGATAGCTGTTGTGGAGATTTGGGCTCCAGCCCTTACCCTATGCTGCATACATAACCATAAAATACTGATAGTGAATTATGTTGTGTTGCTTTTTAAATTAACGTGCTATTTTCTTCCTCTAACCTTAACAGACTGCCGGTGAACTGCTTCCTGCTAGACAGCGACATTGTAAAACATGAATCTGTCACGACTTATGAGATCACAACTACACACTTTCCTGTTTTTAACCACCGTCATATTCCTGTCTGCCTCCATTTATTATACTAAGTACGGTAATTTTTAAAATTATAAGCACTTTAAAATTTTTAAAACTCATTCATCAAAAAATTACATTCATGCAAATCTTATTCATTTAAGCAAAACGTGGGTTAGTTATAGGTAGAAGTTGATAATCAAATCAAAGCAGACGGAATTTTTATTGATTGTATCTGCTTGTTTTTAATTTAGTTTGACGTGGAAAAGATCAGCGTCTTCAGTAACCTCACGACATTTGGCGATCTCTCCTCCATCGCCTACTTTAGCATTGACGCTGAACACCATCAGGATAATATACATGAACAACACGGTGAAGGATATCCAAAAAAGTGACACACAAACTCAGATCAGTCCCACGAAATCTTCGAATCCTGTGGAGGATGAGAGTGGGAAATTATTTATAGCTGTGAAAACAGAGAACCTCAAATATCGCCTAGGCAACCAGATGTTTATTTATGCCGCCATGTTGGGCATTGCACGAGCTCAACACAGAGAGGCATTTATTGAGAGCGGGAAGACCCTGGGGCAGACGTTTGCAGTCAGTCACGTGAACAGCCGGGTCAACGTGACCGGGTAGGTTTTTCTTATCGCAGACGAGAATATCGGACCAGACGTTCTCCGCACTTTTTTTTATCCCCTATGCAAACGTTTTTACATTTGTTATCTCCCCGTTTGAACGCTGATATAATGATATCTTCGAATACATGTTTAAATTTAATCGTCAAAAATTTTCCACTTTTTAAATGTTCATATTAATAATTTATAAAACCATGTGTGGGTGTCTTAATGTTGAGGGGTGGGGGGAGGGGGGGCAGGGGGGGGGGACACTGGTAAACGTATATTTTTTCTTTATATATTGTTTCGTTTGGAGGAATGGGGGAGGGGCGCTAGACGTGCTTCTGATAGACGTGCCCCCCCCCCCCCCCCCCCCGAAGAGATACCTGAAAGAAACACTGTTCCATACGTTTTAAATTATTGTATGGTCCTCCCCGCTATAGCCGAATCGTAATTATATTGTAACTTAATTTAGAATCCATTCATTCATTAGAGTAATATTACAATCATAAAACAACTGAGTCTTTTAATACATACAATTATTTTTTCTTTATATTCACACAACGACGCGTTTTTGTTGCTTTCATCAACAAAGAATTAACATAATTATTTCAGTTGGCAAGTCAAGGCGGTGAAAAATTACGCAACCTTTGACCCCGAGGTTTTCCACCTACCGAAAACCAACATTTCTCTCCAAGGATTATTTCAGTCGTGGAAGTATTTTCTTAACATTCAAGACGAGATCAGACGAGAGTTTACATTCCACCCACATATAAGGAAAAAATCAGAAGCCTTCTACAAGAACCTGTTGAAAGATTGTCAAAATTGTACGTTCGTTGGGGTCCATGTCAGGAGAGGAGATTTTTTAACTGCTAAAAACAAGGGGGAAGGTTTTGTAACAGCTTCACGATCGTATTTTATAAAAGCTTTCAACTTAATCAGATCGATATTGACCAATCAAATTGTTTTCATCGTCGGCAGCGACGATCTTGATTGGTGCAGGGTTAATTTAAATATGACTGACGTCATCGTCCTGAATCCTGACGTCCAGACGGTTCACCTGGCGATTTTATCGAACACAACTCACTCGGTCATCTCCACAGGGACGTACGGGTGGTGGGCGGCTTGGCTGGCCAATGGGATCACGGTGTATTATAACAGGTACCCAATAGCTGGATCCAAGATTGATAGAGGCTTCAATAAAGCTGATTACTATCCCCCGACGTGGATTGGAATAGGAGACTGAAATTATCTTGAAACGTAATTTCATAATAATCCATTTTATTATGTATTTATTTTATGCATTTTTAATTTTTTTTTGCATTTTAATAAATATAATATACGGACGTTTATAAAATATATGTGTTAAAATAAACGAACTTGGCTTGTGTAGAAAATGTATTCCACGGGGTTTTTTGTTTTTGGTGATGCCTTACACGATAAATATGCGAGGGTTATAATTAGAGTTAGTGTTGTATAATTATGTCGAGGGCTATGTGAATGTTAACGATATGCTTTTGGTTAGGTGTAGATTGCTACTGGCAATACAACCTGCATTATTCATTGCTCTGTTGTGGGTGTAACGGGCAAATTACACACTAGTGTAGAGTTAACTTAAACATGGGTTTAACAGGCAAAAACTTACACTGGTGTGAACTGATACACGGGTTTAACGGAAAAACGCCCACACTGGTGTAAAGTTAACTGTTACATGGGTTTAACAGGCAAATACCCACACTGGTATAAAGTTAGCTATTTTTCTAGGACACTGATGGCTCCATTGTTCCTAGACACTGACGGGAAAAGATGCCGATCTCTGACAAAAGTACCACTTGCCTGACGCCGATCTCTGACCAACGTACCACTTGCCTGACAGCGACCTCAGATGGACCGGTCTGTTCAACCTGAACTAACTTGCCGATTAACAGGTCGACAAGGACAAAATCAGCGAAAAAAAATTTCAATTTTCTTTTTTTTTCTCATCTATCCATTGTGGTAACATGTCGGCATTGCATTAGATTATGCAAATCAGTTCGAAATTCAGACTTACGAGCTTCATAAATCATAAATATTTATTGAAATACCCAACAAAGAGTCCACCAAACAATTTTGGTCGCCGCCAAGTTGTCGCGGTCCATGTTTGTCTCCCCGATATCCCGCGACTACGTCTCAAATAACATCGTGTAAATCTCCAATTGGCTTCAAGACAGAGAAAAATTGCGCATGAATCAGCGACATTAAAAATGTATTTCCGTCTCTAGACTTGATACAAAATAAAAGTAAAAATCTCATCACGTAATCACGGGGGACATAGGCTTGGGTAATCTCAAAGCTATCAGATATCAGGTCATTTTACCGCCGGCTCCATCTCCACCCCCGGGCTAAAGGAGTATGTGTTTCCACCATCAACCGGTGGAACAATGCTGGCGTTTTCCGGTGCAATATCTGAGCTGCAGGGAGTCGACCGTAACAGAACGGCTTTGTCAACCCTTCAGGATGTGTAAAGGCATCCCAGGTGGTGTGACATTTATGACTAGCGGTCTTCTCAAGTTTACACACAAAACAAATTGCATAAGAAAACGTTTGCATAACAAGTTTTTATGTAATAATGCACTAAGAAGGAGAAAAGAAATGAGTTTCTTTAAATAAATAAAATAATGCACTATTATTTAAATTACTATAAAGAAAAGCGTGGGTCACTATATTATCTATTGGATACCTTTACTTTCTAGTATTTGCCATTAAAACGTGTTTATATGCATTTTTTTTTCAGAATTTTGATTTTTTTAATACAATAGAGTTGCATTCATAAAAACTATTGCGAACCAAATGAACATTACAGTACGCGCATAATATTGCATAATATTAGTAGTGAGACATTCTACTAATTTCAGAAAGTTTTTTTTCATTCATAAAAATAAGTCATCTACTTAAGCCAAATTTAATGTCAGATTGCATTGTTTTCAAGTCTTGACCTACGTGCCAACTTTTTAACGAATCTCTCAGTTAGAAGTACCCGAAATTTCCCTCGCCCGTTTCGATCCATGACGACAGATAGACAGACTGACGACAGATGATGCAAATGCAAGCTAAATAAAACATTTAAATAATTGCTTAAAACCCGTTTTAATAACAAGTTTTTATTGTAATAATGCTCTAAAAAGGGAAAATAAAACATTTTCTTTAAATATATTATAATACACTAGTATTTAAATTACTTTAAAGAAAATCGTATTTCACTACATTATCTATTGGATACCTTTAGTAATATTTAGGAGGAGACCAACGCTTTTCTCCCTCTTAATGCACATTTAGAATCAGTTGATCTCTTAGTCTCGTTAGCGGGACTGTATCAGAACCGTTTTCAGCTCATTATGTTAACTTAACACGGCAACAAAAACAAGCAGCAGCCGCTCGATATAACGAAAAGGCTAAAGAGGTGAAAAGGAAACTAAGAAATGACAAGAGATTGTTTATAAATGAAATGGCAGAGCAGGCCGAAACAGCTGCCAGTAAGGGAGATCTCAAGACGCTCTATGCAACAACCAGAGCTCTGAGTGGGAGGAAAACCAATCCCAACAGGCCAGTGAGGAGCAAAAATGGTAAACTTCTAACGTAAATTGAGGAACAATTGGCACGATGGAGAGAGCACTTCCAGGAATTACTAAACGGTCCAGCACCTCAAGATCCACCAGACCTGGAGCCAGGGGAACCCCTTAACATCAATACTGAGGAAATCACCAGACAGGAAATTCTCAACGCCTTAAATAGTTTGAAGAGTGGCAAGGCAGCTGGACCGGATAATATCCCAGCAGAGGCATTAAAACAAGGTGGGGAAGAAGTAGTAAATCGACTTCATAAATTAATTAACCTGGTCTGAAACACAGGACAGAACCCAACCGATTGGAAAAGGGGCCCCCTTGTGAAGTTGCCTAAGAACGGTGACTTATCTCAGTGTGGAAAATGGAGGGGTTTTACCTTGTTGTCCATACCAAGTAAAGTCCTTACCAGAGTTATTTTGGACAGAATGAAAGAGGCGGTTGACCTTAAGCTAAGAGAGGAACAAGCAGGATTCAGGAAGGAAAGATCTTGTACAGATCAGATAGCCACTCTTAGAATTATTGTAGAACAGACGATAGAATGGCAAGCCCCGCTTTACATCTGCTTTGTTGACTTTGAGAAGGCCTTTGATAGTGTGGATAGGCAAACAATATGGAATCTGTTGAGACACTATGGTGTACCTGCTAAGTTAGTGGAAATAATCCAGCAACTTTACAATGGATTTTCATGCCAAGTTAGCCATGCAGGGAAACTGTCTAAAGAGTTCCAGGTCAATACAGGTGTGAGACAAGGATGTCTGCTGTCGCCCCTCCTCTTCTTGGTGGTTCTCGACTGGGTGACACGCACAGCCTATGCCAGTTCTGGAAAAGGTATTCAGTGGACACTCACGGGGAAACTAGAAGATCTGGAGTTTGCAGATGATCTTGCCTTACTCTCGCACAGGCTACAGGACATGCAAGAAAAAGTTGATGCATTAGGAGCCATCTAGCAGCGCGTAGGTCTGAAGATCAACAAAGAAAAGACGGAAATGATGAGAATTAACAATAAACAGGAGGCTCCAGTGTCAATAGACGGAAGACAGGTAAATGATGTGCAAGAGTTTGTCTACCTTGGCAGCAAGATCAGCAAAACGGGAGGCACAGAGGAGGACATACGCGCTAGAGTTAATAGAGCCCGCTGCGCTTTCACAGTCCTGCGACCCATATGGAAAAGTTCGGCCATCTCCATTACCACAAAAATTAGGATATTTAACTCTAATGTCAAGGCAGTTCTGCTGTATGGAGCAGAGACATGGAGAGTCTCCAAGGCAAGCACAGCAAAGATACAGACCTTCATGAATAGATGCCTTAGACAGATACTGAAACTGAGATGGCAGGACAAAGTGCCGAACTTGGAACTATGGAGGAAAGCTAGGCAGGAGCCTATAGGTGTGCAAATAAGAAGGAGGAAGTGGCGCTGGGTGGGTCACACACTGCGAAAGGCTCACACAAATGTTACACGCCAAGCGCTTGAGTGGAACCCCCAGGGAAAGCGGAAGAGAGGGCGCCCAAGACAGACCTGGAGGCGGAGTCTTCTTGAAGAACTGAAGCCAATAGGGATGTCTTGGGAGATGTCAAAATTAATAGCCGAGGATAGGAAGAAATGGAAGGAAATGGTGGAGGCAATATGCTCCATAAGGAGAAAAGAGGACTAAGTCAAAGTAAGTCATGTTAACTTAGGCCTTACGTCAACAATGAACTCACTAAGCCAGGGGTGGACTGGCATGCCAAAGAGGCCCGAGATTTTTTTTTTAGAGGCCTTAACCACAGAATGAAGTTTATGTTGTGCCTTTGTTCCCCACCAAAGCCTGGTTTTAATTTTTAACGACTCAATAACGAAATAGTAAAACGGTAAAATACCAACATTAAAAAAGCAAAATATTATACACACAAATATCATAAGCATCAGAGTCAAATAATTAAACAGAAAACCGTTTGTAATATTCATTTTCTGTTTCCTGGATCGCTTTTTAGATATTAGTCACGGTATTCAATACCATGATAATATAAAATCTTGTTATTAAATCGTTTTTAATGAATTTTTTTCATTACTTTAAAATTTTTGTTACAATAGATTTCTTAGTACTATTTTAATCAGAATAAATATATATAAAAAAAAAACAGGTTTAAAACTGGTGATAACAGGCTTTGAAATGCTCTAAAATAAGACTACATCAGGTGGTGCAGTATATTTGGCACCCAACTTCTATTACTTCCGCTTAAGGCGTTTCAGGTTGTTTTGTAGGGGTTAGCGTGGTTCGCACACCATCAAATATTCACACAATCAAATAATCATCAAATATCTTTACCCACACCATCAAATAATCATCAAATAACTTTACCCACACCATCAAATAATCATCAAATAACTTTACCCACACCATCAAATAATCATCAAATAACTTTACCCACACCATCAAACAATCATCAAATACTTTTCCCACATCATCAAATAACTCTACCCAAATCACCAAATAACTTTACCCCTACCATCAAATAACTTTACCCATACAATCAAATAACTTTACCCACACCATCAAATAACTTTACCCACACCATCTCTAACTCCCATGTCTTTTCTTGCCTAGAATAAATTAAATAAGGATGTTTTACTTTTTAAAAAAAACATTGCAGTCACACTGTATTTCTCAAACCTTTCTCGATTCAAAGGATTTTTATGACATCGGCAGTTCGAGTTTCTTCGTTTGGCGAATGACGTCATCGTATATCTGCATGTCTTCAGTGCAACTTTACTGCTCTAACCCTTTGGCACTGTCCCAACTCTCCCCAGGACACTAGGAACCTTTTATCCCGGTAACCTTGACCCCGCGACCTTGGGACATGGATGGGCTTTAATTGGACGTGGGTGTCTGAGTGTAAGACGGCTGTGTGGGTGAGGTGCTCGGCAGGCGTTTATCACAGCGTGGGGGGGGGGGGGGGGTGGCTGACTACCAAAAGTCTGTTGTTAAGTGGCGTGTCAGATTACTAGACCCAACGACGTAATAGAAATGTAATTTATGCACCACAGGAGCTGGTGCTTAGAACCCCACACTGGGGTGTGATTAGATTGGAATGAAACAAGATCCAGTTGAACGGGGTGACATTCACTCGTCTCATCGCATGTCAACTCCGACACAGCTCCGGTACACCTGATCATTTATTGAAATCAACTTCCGCATAGGTACTCCCACGTTCCACTTCAATCAAAATGTGCACAATTACTTGATGCCTAAACATTATAAACCAGCATGGGAGTAATTACTTTACGCCCTTACATTCTATATAACTTAATTACTTTACGCCCTTACATTCTATATAACTTAATTACTTTATGCCCTTACATTCTATATAACTTAATTACTTTATGCCCTTACATTCTATATAACTTAATTACTTTATGCCCTTACATTCTATATAACTTAATTATTTTACGCCCTTACATTCTATATAACTTAATTACTTTATGCCTTTACATTCTAAATGAACCTGTGAATAATAACTGTATGCTCAACCATCTATCTAAATCACCCTGTGCATACGCACATATCTTATCTAAATTAACACAAGTATATTTACTGTATGTTCCTTTATCCTATCGAATCAACATGATTATGAATGTTATATACCCCAACATTCTATATAACTTAATTACTGTATGCCTCATTATTCTATATAACTTAATTACTGCATGCTTTTACATTCTATATAAAAGTTAATCACTGTATGCCCCTTCATTCTAAATCACTAGCATGAACTCAATTAACATACGCTCCAACCTGCTATTAAACTTAGCATGAAATTACCCCCCCCCCCCCATTGTCCTGGTGTTAGATGAGATTTATGGTGACATGCCGTCCTGGTACATGTGGGAGTGGGAGACATTGTTTTACACACAGCTACGTCCTGTTACAGAGGCGGCATGGTAGTGGCATAAAGCAGTGGCGGCACTACAGTGGCAAAACGTCAGTGGCAACACTACAGTGGCATAAAGCCAGTGGCGGCACTACAACGGCATAAAGCCAGTGGCGTCACTACAATGGCATAAAGCCAGTGGCGGCACTACAGTGGCATAAAGCCAGTGGCGGCACTAGAGTGGAAAAACGTCAGTGGCGGCACTACAGTGGCATAAAGCCAGTGGCGTCACTACAGTGGCAAAATGCTAGTGGCGGCACTAGAGTGGCAAAACGTTAGTGGCGGCACTACAGTGGCAGCTTATAGTATATTCATTGTAGCATTTATAACGCAGATAATTACAGTTATTAGCTAAAAAGGTGGATTAAAAAATAGTTTTGAATATGACGGTGACAAAACAAAACAAAGCCCCACCAATTTCCCCACATATTTTAATACCACAATCACATCATCAAAATGACTAAAACTAATGTCTTCTAATTTAACGCTTGTTGCTATGGCAACATCCACATCCCGGCAGGCGTGACCTGACCATTACGGTAAATATACAGTTCTTTAGCCGCTGGCTGTAGGAAGTCCCGGATCTTGGCGGCCTTCATGCTGAACCCGCTGTAGCTGATGACGAGAACCCGACAGGATGTGGTCAGTAGTAGCTGCTCCACCAGGGCCAGTCTGTGGGGGAGCATCAAGATTTTAGCTTTTGTATGTCGTTCAAATATCAAGATTTAATCTATGTCATTCAAACATCAAAATTTTAGCTTTTGTATGTCGTTCAAATATCAAGATTTAATCTATGTCATTCAAACATCAAAATTTTAGCTTTTGTATGTCGTTCAAATATCAAGATTTAATCTATGTCATTCAAACATCAAAATTTTAGCTTTTGTATGTCGTTCAAATATCAAGATTTAATCTATGTCATTCAAACATCAAGATTTTAGCTTTTGTATGTCGTTCAAATATCAAGATTTAAGCTTTGTCATTCAAACATCAAGATTTTAGCTTTTGTATGTCGTTCAAATATCAAGATTTAATCTATGTCATTCAAACATCAAGATTTTAGGTTTTGTATGTCGTTCAAATATCAAGATTTAAGCTATGTCATTCAAACATCCAGATTTTAGCTTTTGTATGTCGTTCAAATATCAAGATTTAAGCTATGTCATTCAAACATCAAGATTTTAGCTTTTGTATGTCGTTCAAATATCAAGATTAAAGCTGTTATTCAAACATCAAGATTTTAGCTTTTGTATGTAGTTCAAATATCAAGATTTAATCTATGTCATTCAAATATAAAAATTTTAGCTTTTGTATGTCGTTCAAATATCAAGATTTAAGCTATGTCATTCAAACATCCAGATTTTAGTTTTTGTATGTCGTTCAAATATCAAGATTTAAGCTTTGTCATTCAAACATCAAGATTTTAGCTTTTGTATGTCGTTCAAATATCAAGATTTAAGCTGTCATTCAAACATCAAGATTTTAGCTTTTGTATATCGTTCAAATATCAAGATTTAAGCTATGTCATTCAAACATCAAGATTTTATCTTTTGTATGTCGTTCAAATATCAAGATTTAAGCTTTTATATGTCATACAAATATCAAAATTTAAACTTTGTCATTCAAATAAAAAGATTTAAGCTTTTATGTGACCTTCATTTATCAAGTTTTAAGGTTTTCCTTGTCATTGAAATATCAGAATAAAGTTTTTCAACGTTATTCAAAATATCATTCAAATATAAAGTTTTAAGCTTTTATATGTCATTCAAATATTAAATTTTAAGGTTTTATATGTCATTTAAATATAAAGTTTTAAGCTTTTCTATATCATACAAACATCAAGTTTTTAACTTATTAGAATAAGTGTGTCTAAAACATCTAGTTTAATATCAGAACGTGCGTCAGTGGAAGATCAAGTTTTAAGCTTATCAAGGAAACATCAATTTTTAAAACTTTAGATTCGATATTGAAAAAAAAAAGTATTTGAACTTGCAAAAAGTACGTAAAGTTCATTACATTTTATCCCTTTAATATTTCACGTTAATTAAAAATTAATTTTAAAAAGAAACAGAGGATATTATTTAGCAGTATGTAAATACAACTCCTATATTTTAAAATAATATTTTATATTCTTTAGGATAGGCATTCGTGTAATTAAAATTACTTTTTTTTTTGGAAAAGATGAAACTAAAAGTTTAAGTTTTAATTGTCTTGATAATCCTAGCCAAAGACGTATTGTGTTACCTAAAACCTTCTCGCTTGTCTTGACCTTTCTGTACGCTGGCGATGTGAACAATTGGACTGGAACTGACATGTAGTCTATGGCCAAACAAGGTTTTAGCTTCATCCCGTACCTATGTATATACACGTTTTACATATACAAGCCTAATATATATATATATATATATATATATATATATATATATATATATATATATATATATATATATATATATATATATATATATAATATATATATATATATATATATATATATATATATATATATATAAAATATATATATATATATATATATATATATATATATATATATATATATATATATATATATATACGTGTGTGTATATTTATGCGAACAGGGCATTATCCCCCCCCTGTAAATTACCCCCTCTGTAAATTACCCCCCCCCGTCAATTACCAAATTATAACTAAAGATAAAAGTAAAGAGTTTAAACACAACGCAAAAGTTGAAACCAAACTACAGCACTGACCGTCTGAGAATCTGTGGCCAGATAAACGTGGAATCCCTTGGTGACGTAACCGGCCAGAAAATCCCAGACGGCTGCGACAGTTTCCGGTTTGTTCCTGACGTTGTTCTCAAAGGGCAAGGACGAGCTGTGGCCCAACCGGATGTGGACACACACGAGATTCACGTCGATGACGTCATAGTTCTTCAGGTCTCGGACCGCGTCCAGCGAGACGTTGTTTCCACGAGATGTTCTCACATCCGGGTTACACACCATCTCTTCCGACCAGAGAGTTAAAGAAACTGATGTGGTAGAATTTGTAGCGTTGCTAGCTGTACAAATCCGATCGCGTGTCTTTGGAGTAAAACTAACATATGAGTCATTGATGCAAAAATCACGGTAGCAAAACTTAGTTCTTGAATCTATACACGAGCTGTTTATACAGGCACCAGAGATATTGGATATACACATTTCTCTCCTGATGCAAGTTTGATTAAGGCATTGGTTGTTTGTATAGTCTTTAACGTCAAAAATTAAAGATTTATTCGAAGTAGATTTATCTCCCTCGAAACAATGCGACCCATTTGTATGAGTCTTGTTATATGAGCTACAACACTTCTCTAACTGACTTAAGACCCTGGCCTCGTTTTGAATAACGGTGACGATGTTCACAAGAGCGTTGTTCAGCTCTTGTCTTAACTCTTTTGTTGGGGTCATAAGTCGCGTCCACCCCCGCTGGTAGAGCTCCCACCTCGTGCCCTGAGCCCAGGGAGGGAATCGTCTCTTGTACATGTAGTTCTTGCTTAAGCTGTGCAGGAACCTGTGGTTGGTTCGTAGGAAGACGACGTCTTGTGGGTACACAGAGTTAAAGTCAATGACCTCTAGGTGTAGGTTTTGGCTGGTGCCTAGAGCCTGTGGAGATTATAAGAGTGTAGGTGTATGGAGTGTATGTGTATGGAGTGTAGGTGTAGGTAGTGTAGGTGTATGGAGTGTAGGAGAACGGAGTGTAGGTGTACGGAGTGTATGTGTATGGAGTGTAGGTGTATAGAGTGTAGGTGTATGGAGTGTAGGTGTACGGAGTGTAGGTGTATGGAGTGTATGTGTATGGAGTGTAGGTGCATGGAGTGTAGGTATATGGAGTGTAGGTGTATGGAGTGTAGGTGTATAGAGTGTAGGTGTATGGAGTGTAGGTGTATGGAGTGTAGGTGTATGGAGTGTAGGTGCATGGAGTGTAGGTGTATGGAGTGTATGTGTATGGAGTGTAGGAGAATGGAGTGTAGGTGTATGGAGTGTATGTGTATGGAGTGTAGGTGTATAGAGTGTAGGTGTATGGAGTGTAGGTGTATGGAGTGTAGGTGTATGGAGTGTAGGTGCATGGAGTGTAGGTGTATGGAGTGTAGGTGTATGGAGTGTAGGTGTATGGAGTGTAGGTGTATAGAGTGTAGGTGTATGGAGTGTAGGTGTATGGAGTGTAGGTGTATAGAGTGTAGGTGTATGGAGTGTAGGTGTATAGAGTGTATGTGTATGGAGTGTAGGTGTATAGAGTGTAGGTGTATGGAGTGTAGGTGTATGGAGTGTACGTGTATGGAGTGTACGTGTATGGAGTGTAGGTGTATAGAGTGTAGGTGTATGGAGTGTAGGTGTATGGAGTGTATGTGTATGGAGTGTAGGTGCATGGAGTGTAGGTGTATGGAGTGTAGGTGTATGGAGTGTAGGTGCATGGAGTGTAGGTGTATGGAGTGTAGGTGTATGGAGTGTAGGTGTATAGAGTGTAGGTGTATGGAGTGTAGGTGTATGGAGTGTAGGTGTATGGAGTGTAGGTGCATGGAGTGTAGGTGTATGGAGTGTATGTGTATGGAGTGTAGGAGAATGGAGTGTAGGTGTATGGAGTGTATGTGTATGGAGTGTAGGTGTATAGAGTGTAGGTGTATGGAGTGTAGGTGTATGGAGTGTAGGTGTATGGAGTGTAGGTGCATGGAGTGTAGGTGTATGGAGTGTAGGTGTATGGAGTGTAGGTGTATGGAGTGTAGGTGTATAGAGTGTAGGTGTATGGAGTGTAGGTGTATGGAGTGTAGGTGTATAGAGTGTAGGTGTATGGAGTGTAGGTGTATAGAGTGTATGTGTATGGAGTGTAGGTGTATAGAGTGTAGGTGTATGGAGTGTAGGTGTATGGAGTGTACGTGTATGGAGTGTACGTGTATGGAGTGTAGGTGTATAGAGTGTAGGTGTATGGAGTGTAGGTGTATGGAGTGTATGTGTATGGAGTGTAGGTGTATAGAGTGTAGGTGTATGGAGTGTAGGTATATGGAGTGTACGTGTATGGAGTGTAGGTGTAGGTAGTGTAGGTGTATGGAGTGTAGGTGTATGGAGTGTAGGTGAATGGAGTGTATGTGTATGGAGTGTAGGTGAATGGATGGAGTGTATGTGTATGGAGTGTATGTGTATGGAGTGTATGTGTATAGAGTGTATGTGTATGGAGTGTTGGTGTATGGAGTGTAGGTGTATGGAGTGTAGGTGTATGGAGTGTTGGTGTATGGAGTGTAGGTGTATGGAGTGTAGGTGTATGGAGTGTAGGTGTATGGAGTGTAGGTGTATGGAGTGTTGGTGTATGGAGTGTAGGTTTATGGAGTGTAGGTGTATGGAGTGTAGGTGTATGGAGTGTAGGTGTATGGAGTGTAGGTGTATGGAGTGTAGGTGTATGGAGTGTTGGTGTATGGAGTGTAGGTGTATGGAGTGTAGGTGTATGGAGTGTTGGTGTATGGAGTGTAGGTGTATGGAGTGTAGGTGTATGGAGTGTAGGTGTATGGAGTGTTGGTGTATGGAGTGTTGGTGTATGGAGTGTAGGTGTATGGAGTGTTGGTGTATGGAGTGTAGGTATATGGAGTGTAGGTGTATGGAGTATATGTGTATGGAGTGTATGTGTATCGATTGTATGTGTACGGAGTGTATGTGTATGGAGTGAATGTGTATGGAGTGTATGTGTATGGAGTGTATGTGTATGGAGTGTAGGTGTATGGAGTGTATGTGTATGGAGTGTATGTGTATGGAGTGTAGGTGTATCGATTGTATGTGTACGGAGTGTATGTATACGGATTGTATGTGTATGGAGTGTATGTGTATGGAGTGCATGTGTATGGAGTGTAGGTGTATGGAGTGTATGTGTATGGAGTGTATGTGTATGGAGTGTAGGGGTATGGAGTGTAGGTGTATGGAGTGTTGGTGTATGGAGTGTTGGTGTATGGAGTGTAGGTGTATGGAGTGTTGGTGTATGGAGTGTAGGTATATGGAGTGTAGGTGTATGGAGTATATGTGTATGGAGTGTATGTGTATCGATTGTATGTGTACGGAGTGTATGTGTATGGAGTGTATGTGTATGGAGTGTAGGTGTATGGAGTGTATGTGTATGGAGTGTATGTGTATGGAGTGTAGGTGTATCGATTGTATGTGTACGGAGTGTATGTATACGGATTGTATGTGTATGGAGTGTATGTGTATGGAGTGCATGTGTATGGAGTGTAGGTGTATGGAGTGTATGTGTATGGAGTGTATGTGTATGGAGTGTAGGGGTATGGAGTGTAGGTGTATGGAGTGTATGTGTATCGATTGAATATTTACGGAGTGTATGTGTATAGAGTGTATGTGTATGGAGTGTAGGTGTATCGATTGTATGTGTACGGAGTGTATGTGTATGGAGTGTATGTGTATGGAATGTATATTGATCGATTGTATGTGTACGGAGTGTATGTGTATGGAGTGTTTGTGTATGGAGTGTAGGTGTACGGAGTGTATGTGTATGGAGTGTTTGTGTATGGAGTGTAGGTGTATGGAGTGTAGGAGTATGGAGTGTAGGTGTATGGAGTGTATGTGTACGGAGTGTATGTAAATGGAGTGTAGGTGTATGGAAGTTGACAGGATAAATGATCTCAGGACAAAATATATCAGGACAAAATATATCAGGACAAAATATATCAGGACAATATATATCAGGACAAAATACATCAGGACAAAATACATCAGGACAAAATATATCAGGACAAAATATACCAGGACAAAATATATCAGGACAATATATATCAGGACAAAATACATCACGACAAAATATATCAGGACAAATAATCACATGACAAATGATCTCAGGACAAAATATTTCACGGACAAAATATTTCACTGACAAAGTATTTCACGGACAAAATATTTCACGGAGAAATGATCTGAGGATACATGATCTCAGACAAAATATCCCTAACAAAATATCTCATAGCAAAATATTTATAAGATTTGTCCTGAGATTATTTGTCATGGAACCGTATGGAGGCTATGTGTAAGTTCATGAGAGATAGCCATAGTCAAGATGAGATGGACAGTTTAAACTGAGGAAAGAAAGAGAGTGACATTGCCCAGGAAAAATGTAGGAACGATTTTGAATTTTCCGCAAGCCAAAATTTGAATGGCAATAAACCGGGAGTGATCTCCCATAAACTTTCTCGAATATTCATATATGAAACAACAAGGTATGGCACCTCGGCACATAGACATGATTTTAAATACTTAAACTTTTAAAAATAGAATAAAATCGCGCAGAAAAAAGAATTGCACACCAAGTGAACGCCAAATAAAATGTGCATAATAGTGCGGAATATTATTAGTACTTTATAAATTCACATGCGTTTTTTAAGAAATCGGAAATAGAACAATTACTACTTCCTACAGTTATCGGAAATAGCTCAAAAGTTGATACGGATCTACGATTTTGATATAATACTTATATATGAAATTTCATCAACCTAGCTGTAACGGTACTCAAGTTATCGTGTTTACACACACAACACACACACACACACGCACACACACAAACACACGCACGCACGCACACACACACAAACACACACAAACACACACACACACATACGCACACCCACACCCACACACACACCCACACACCCACGTACGCACGCACGCACGCACACACACACACACAGACATTCGTACAAGATTTCAAAACTATGTTTTTCCGACCCAGGGAGATATATAGCGTCGAGATTCGCAAAAATCTCGATTTTTTTTGCACGATTACAAGACTATCTCTATACTTCGAATTTACGAGAAAGTAAAAATGTAGATGATGATAAGTGGAAACTGATCGTAAATTGTGTGAGACAAGTAGTTGGATGTAAAGCTGTTGAAGTCCTAATGCAAATAAAATAATGCAAATATCCCCGACTTAAAAAAAAATTAACATTTTAAATTTTTCGTATACCTTTCTTGAAGTCATACAAAGCCGAGGTGAAAGTTACCTGTAGTTCTATTGTACTTTTGTTCTGAAGTTCTATTTCTGGGATAGCCCAGTCAACTTGTGCCGGCCTGTAGAAGTCTGAAAAATCTGCCGGTGACGTCATGACAATGCCAAACGTTCGGTTCGTGACCTCTGCCAGTAGGTACACGCTGATTATCCCCCTTTGCCTGTCCCCCAGGCCAAAACAATATACTTTATCATCGCACAGATAAATCAAATATTTTTTCCTGAAACTTTCTTGACTGCTGTTGACTGCTTGGTTGTTTGGGGACTCTGTTTCGTTAGATAGTTTAGTGGTGCTGTATGGACATATCAAATGAAAATAAGTTAATAAAGATGGCGGAGGTACGAAGAGGTCAGCTTGTTGTGAATGTGGGCGAAGACAAACCTGTTAGATGCGAGGTAGGTCGCGGTCAGCTGGACGCGGAGTTTGATGACGTATGGCAGCAACAGGTAGATCAAGGTGAGCAGCGTTACCATCAGGCCACAGCAATGGTAGGATGGGCATCTAGGCCAGCGGTGTGAACTGGGGAGTGGAGGGGTGTTGGTTGGTGAGTGGTGTGGGGTGGGGTGTAGTGGGTGGTGTGGGGGTGGAGGTGTAGCATAAAGGTGAGCAGCGTTACCATCAGGCCACAGCAATGGTAGGATGGGCATCTAGGCCAGCGGTGTGAACTGGGGAGTGGAGGGGTGTTGGTTGGTGAGTGGTGTGGGGTGGGGTGTAGTGGGTGGTGTGGGGGTGGAGGTGTAGCATAAAGGTGAGCAGCGTTACCATCAGGCCACAGCAGTGGTAGGATGGGCATCTAGGACAGTGGTATGAACTGAGGAGTGGAGGTCAAGTGGTTGGTGAGTGGTGTGGGGGTGTAGTGGGTGGTGTGGGGGTGGAGGTGTAGTGGTTGGGTAGTGTGGGGGGGGGGGGGGGGTGGGGAGTGTTGTATGGGTGTGGTGGGTGGTGAGTGGGGAGTGGTGGGTGATGTAAAGGAGGGGGTGAAGTGGGTGGTAAGTGGTGTGGCGGAGTGTCGGGTGGCGTGGGGGTGTGTGGGTGGGGAGTGGTGGGGAGTGTGGGGGGGGGGGGTGGGGAGTGTTGTATGGGTGTGGTGGGTGGTGAGTGGGGAGTGGTGGGTGATGTGAAGTATAACCCAACCTATGTTTAAGTGTGATCTCTATGTCAGTAGAGCCCTCACATTATATCCCCCCTCTCTTTCAGAGAATTCCCTACTCATGTTGCGGGGAGGGTATTGAAACTTTAGGGGGGGGGGGTAAATTTTCGTGGGATTGTGATGGGGATATTGCCAATATAAATTATATATTTTTTCTATTTCGAAGAGTTAAAAAAAATGTTTTTGATATATTCTTGTAATTTTTTTTTAAAGGAAATTTATGAAAACAACAAAAACACACTTAAACCTATGAATAAATCAGAAATAAAATATTTTTAGAAATCATTTTATAGAAGCTGCAAATCCAGAGAACTCTAAAATAATGTTTAGAGTTAAGAGTCCAGATTTTTATTTATTTCGACCAAGCCTAAGCTATAAACTAAATATCTCTCTTTCTTAAGACAAACATTGACTGGCTTTAAAGGAGCTCTGTGATCGATATTTGGAAAACCCCACTTTAAAAAAAAGTCATAGTAATTGGTACTGAAAACTTAACCGATACGAGACCTAGTTTAGCCATTTTTGTTTTCAATTTCTGTGGTAAATATAAGCAATTAAATTGTGTTTGGCGCTTTAAAAAATTGTTTAGCTACCTAACATACTAAAAACACCCATCGCATCCAATCTTTAGTAAAGTCAAACCAAAATAAACCAGATTTTTTTAATAACCATATTTATTTTAATAACATTTTACATTTACCTGTACTATTTGAATATGCTTTTGAAATATTTCCCACATTACTCAAAGAAATGGGCGTTATATGATTAGTCCGCGCAAGATTCAGAGTGTAAGATATTATAATACTTTGTAAACAAACATATAGAGAATATGCAAATAAAAAAAAATGTCATAAATTATGTGAAAAAATATCAACAAAAAAAATAATGACAGGCAAAGATTGAAATACAACGTCGTTAATATGAAAAATAAACGAAAGTATTTTATTTAGTGGTCGTTTACAATTTTCTGCACGGTTTTTATTAGAAAAAAATATTACCTCATATTAAGTTTTTAATTTGATTAATTAAAAACAAATACGTTTGGCACCAACGAGATTTTTGTGTGAAAAAATTTAGCACAGCGGTTCGACACATTTAAATTTAGCCCTCGCGATAACGCTCAAAGTTAGTTCAGCACACCGTGTTGACGTTTCTTTCTTTAGACGTCTGAAGTGGATTATCACGGTATTAACTATTGGCGGCCGTGTGTTTGATATCACGTGACGACACGGGCTAGGACAGGTAGAAGGTGTGTGTGTGTGTGTGTGTGTGTGCGGGGGGGGGGGTGAATTGTTTTAATTCTGATTACAATACCCGGACCTGTCTTTTAAAAGCCACTTGAGATAATAATGAGTCTTTTTAAAACGTTTTTCTTAACTCAGCTTCGCGTTTGTTTGTTTGGTTATTTGGATGTTTGTTGTTAAAATTGACATCGAAAATTAGCCCACTTCTGATTGCTCTAGAGACCTGAAATTTGGCATGCATGCTACTTTCGCCTAACAATTTCAGATGCAATCATAAAAACTAGCAATTAGTGACCGTAATTAGCTTAATTTAATTACGCCCCAAGGACCATAAAATTGAGGACATGATTTCTAAAGATACCGACAAGACTGGAGTCCTAATGACACAGTTACTTCGGCCCCAATCGATGTGAGCGCGCTGGCCGTGATCGTATAGTTGTTAGTACTTCGCGTTGTGGCCGCGACAACCCAGGTTCGAATCCTGGTCGCTCAAGATTTTTAGTCCGTGTATTTATAAACACTTTTTTAAAAACCACGTTTTTCATGTGTAGCAACGGACTAAAAAGGAGAAAATAAAATACTTAAAAAAAACTTTTTAAAAAACCACGTTTTTCTTGTGGACTAAAAAGTAGAAAATAACTATTTACATACATTTGATGACAAAAAACGTGGGTCGGGCAGATGGGTCGGGAAATTTGATGGTGAACGTACCCACGTTTTTTGTCATCAAATGTATGTAAATAGTTATTTTCTACTTTTTAGTCCACAAGAAAAACGTGGTTTTTTAAAAAGTTTTTTTTAAGTATTTTATTGGTTTCATTAAAAAAATCCTGACTTAAACGCCAATGCCCTATCAGAAACAACAACAGCAAACGTCTTCTGTTTATTTTCGTTTCATTTAACTTTTAGGTTGAATTTGTTTTAATTATATTGCTGAAAAATTAATACATTCTTAGACTTTTGATCGATTTAAATATTACAAAAAATGTTGCCCTTTCTGTTAGAACTTTATTTCAACAAATCTTTTTAATTAGACATTTTTGTAACCTATCTGTTTTTATTTTTGAGAGTCACACAACCTTTATTTCTGTAACACTGATGCCGTATTATAAATTAGTTAGGGAAGGGTCAGTAGCGGACTGTGGGTGAAGTTAGCTTTACTGATGTGTTGTGTTTAGTTTAAATCTTCTAACATAATGGTTTCTGACTATATTGTCCCAGCACTATTAGTGAGTCCGCCTTAGTTTGAATATATAAAGTGACAAGTTCGTCGCTATTGTGGCCCAAAACTCTGGATTGTTTTATGTCCCAGGAGGGGCGACAGGCAAACGTAACCAAACCTAACCCTAAACATTACTCCCTGTTGGATGGTTAAATCACCTAACCCTAAACCTTCTTTCCCATAGCATCTACCTAATCCTAAACATTACTCCCAACGAGACGTTTAATTTACCTAACTACAAACATTACTCCCTGTAGGATATTTTATTCACCTAACCCAAAACCTTCTTTTCTAATTTACCTAATCCTAAACTTTACTTCCAATAATTTATCTAATTCGACCTTACTCAGAAGAATAGATTATCTAATTAATCTCCTTACTCATGACCATACCGGTAAACAGCTCTTTGATTTCATTACTTATTAAAAGTTTGCTTTTCTTAAGTTCAATGACTGATCTCAATTGATGCACCATTTTACATTGAAATGTTCAAATGAATAACAACGTACCAGTTTCTTGGTGTAAGGATTGTATTGTCGTCAACATTGATAACCGCCCTTACTGTACATACCTTCAGCGATGGGTGGAAGGTTTTTTAAAATAACATTAACAAGGAAACTCTTGTTTGCATTTGCAATTGTGTGAACAAAGGGAGATAACTTTCTAACGACTAATGGAGTACATTTAAAGTTTATGAGTAAAGCGAGATAACCAAGTTTTAAGTGAGTTCTATACACTGGTTGTTGCCCTTACTCCGTGAAAAAGACAATAACCCCAATATCAACGTCATGTTTTTATTTAATGAAATTTATTTTTCTTGTACGGTAAATTTCCATTTTAATATCTGCAAAATATTATGTTAGATAGTTTAAACGGTTGGATTGCATTTTTGTAAGATTTTACTTGTGTGTTCATTTATTTACTTGTGTGTAACATTTGTTTTACAAAGAATAGATATAAAGCATATGCCATCTATACAGAAAAGTTACGGTGAGGTCTCTCAACCACTTCATACCCTGTAGAAATATAAGAATGATACATTTTAAAACCTAATTTAGAAATCAACACAGTCAATCAAATAGTTTTTAGAGTAAGTAAAGATCGGATGTAAACCTTGTAGACAATTTCTTCCTAATGCTTCTGCGTAAATACATTTTAATGTTTCGTTGGCCTGGAAAAAGTTTGTATGAAAAATTTAATTTGGTTTTTTTTAGAGATGTCATAACTTGAGAGAGTAATTAAGAAAAGCATACATTTTTTTCTTATTTAGCTTTCAGCCTGCACAATGTTTGTTATGGAGATATGTAGAAGTTGGGTGTGTAAACTGGTACCCTACAGAACAGAGGACGTCATTATGGGGATCTGTCTGTAGAAGTTGGGTGTGTAAACTGGTACCCTACAGACCAGAGGACGTCATTATGGGGATCTGTAGAAGTTGGGTGTGTAAACTGCTAGCCTACAGACCAAAGGACGTCATTATGGGGATCTGTTTGGAGAAAACTACATCAGCCGGCGCCCCAGCGATTGTATGACCCGGTGCACCCCCGGCTCCTCCTTGAGCACGATGATGACACCTAAATAACGCCACGCACTCTGAGTACGGTGGGCTAATTTAATCGTTGACAAAAAATAACCAGACACCTCTGCCAGCGCCCTGTGGATCATATTACCCAGTGGATCTAGGGGTGTCATATGAGCTCTATGGCGCCTACATCCGCTATAACGCGCGCCCATTGCTATGGATGCGATGGGATACCATAATGAATACCTAAATTGCAGCAGGGTCGACATCCGGCGCCCCCACAGTTGTGTACGGTTTAAGTGTGGCTACCTGGGGACATGGTGTCCGTTGATTGTGCGCCCTGCATTGACACCTGGGCTGACACTTTGGGTTTTTCT